ACCTGGAGAACCTGGCTGGAGAACCTAGCGAGAGAACATGGCACCAGAACTTGGTTGGAGATCCTGACCAGAACTTCGCTGGAGATCCTAGCCAGAACTTTGCTGGAGATCCTGGAGGGAGAACCTCGCTATGCTGATGAACTGAACCCAGTTTCCATGTCATTCATTCTTCGCGACTCCGTCACACCTTTGGGATGAGATCATGTGATACTTGTCTTTCTCTGACTGGCTTATTTGCTTAGCATAATACTCTCCAGGTCCCTCCATGCTGTCTCAAAGGATAAGCGATCCTTCTTTTTTACTGCTGCATAATAGTTCATGGTATAAATGTACCACAGTTTTTTTAGCCACTCATCTACTGATGGTCACTATAAAACCAATTTTAGATGTTTGCTGGCTGAATTGTTGTACTGAGAATTTTGAGGATTTAAGTCAGTTGCTCTGGGAGAAAGAGTGTGTACTATGCTGTGATCTAAATGCAATGACTACCATAGGGAGGCAGAGGTGTTACATAAGACAAATGTCTCCAAGTGTGGTCAATTCTTACTAAATGCTGTTTTTGCTAAATGTTAAAAATGTTGCACAGTATTTTGCAGAGGTGGATGTAAACAGGATAAGCTCTAGAGAAAATAAACAGGGTACAGGTAGTCAATTGCAAAGAAGAAATCAAAGTGTAATTAGCCAAATAGTATGTATAAGGAATGGCTAAACCTCCATTCTAAGAGACAGTTTTGGATATGAATCCCGTTTCCTTTACTTGTTGCAAATAAACAAAACTACCTTGTGACAACCATGTCTCATTCTTGAATAGAACACCCCAAGCAACAAACCCCTTGAGTTTAGTAACAGAGGGAATGACTTGCCAGCTCTGTTTTAGTTTTGGGGTCTTACATGTGGCTCAAGGCAACTGGAGTCTCAGCATTGGAGTCCTACCATCTCACATCCTTGCTTCTTGCTGTGCATCTGCTTCATTCTCTCTGAAAACTGGCCCCACCCCATGTTTACCCCTACTCTGTGCAGGAGATGCTGCCCTCGCATCACCTGTGTTGACTGTCAGGAGTACAAGTAAGAAGCAGAAACTAAGTAGTGGTTCTCATCTGTAAAGAAAAGATATGGTCTCTACTAAATTCAAACTGAAAAAGAGGGAGTTCAGAGAATTGACAGGAAGATTGGTGGAGCAGGCTCAGGCAGGAACCAAGGAAGGGAAGGCGGAGTTCAGGTTCTGCCACAGGGATGGTCTGCTGAGACACAGGCACCATCAACACAGAACACTTGTTGCCTACTACTACTGGACTGACTCCCCTAGCCTGAACACTCACCTTCTGCCACTGGTCTCACAACTCTACCCTACCACCAGGAATAATCTGAGTCACCTTTGTGTCACTCCCTCAATATTCAAAATTCCTGAGGGTAGCAATACTCAGAACAGAGGGCTATAGTCCAGCTATTGGGAGAGGACCAAGTCTCAAAGAGGAACTTGGGTTAAACAGACACCCTCAAAAGGTGTCCATTGCATGCTATATCCTGCTAGGCAGAGGGCATGTGAGAAGGTGCAAAGTACCGTCGAGCTTAGAAACTGCTGTCCCAGAACAGAGTGAGAAACCAAGTGGAGAGTATGAAAGTTTGAATTGATGGAAAAGGTTACATAGGAATAGGCAAATAGATACCAGGAAGAGCTAGAACTGAAATCAAGAACTTTGTTAGCTATAACAGGGCTGGGACCAAATTACAGAAGAACCAGAAAGAACTGAAGAGATGAAAGACTAGACATTCAAAAAGTAGTCCTGGAGCTAGGAAGGCACAACAAGCACAGGTGAAATTCTAAGATTGTAGACCAGGTGACCATGAAGTTAAAAACTACAGAGTGCAACAAAAAAGAGCAAAAAGATGGGCTCCTGTAAGATTGCCATTTGTTACATGTATACCTTGTAGGATGTGTCCTTATACATCCAATGAATTGGTTGTTAGACAGCCCAGTTGAGGGGGAAGTAAACTGTAATACACAGGCACCAGCCCTTAAGGCAACGAAGGCATGGGGAACATTCAGAAATTAATGGTTTACTGTACCTCTCCACTAAGCTTGATACAATGAACCTTGTGTCGAGCCAGCTCAGCCAAGGGTTCCACAAGCCTGAGTGAGGGTGGTGAAGGATGAAGAAATGACAGACAGAGAGAATAAGCTGGGTCTAGGTCAGGAGTGGGCAAACTTTTTGACTCGAGGGCCACAATGGGTTCTTAAACTGGACCGGAGGGCCGGAACAAAAGCATGGATGGAGTGTTTGTGTGAACTAATATAAATTCAAAGTAAGCATCATTACATAAAAGGGTACGGTCTTTTTTTTTTTTTAGTTTTATTCATTTCAAACGGGCCGGATCCGGCCCGCGGGCCGTAGTTTGCCCATGGCTGGTCTAGGTGGATCTTCCTGTGCCTGGCTGAGGCCACAGAGAGAGATCCAGAGGCAAGCTGAGCCTTTATTTATAGCCAGAGGTAAACAAGGTAGTGGTCACCAGTTACAATGTTCTTGTGAGTTTCACTTGTTTTGGCAGCACTTGCTGCACCTCCCACAGCCCATTAGCTACCTAGGAAGGATCTAGGGAGCGTCATAAGGTCATGTGCCCTCTAAGCTGGGACTTGTTTGTGGCTTTGCCAACAGGTCAGTTGGAGGGTTTAACCCTATAGCCGCGCCCTACAGAACCTAACATTCTAGGAAGAACACTTTCCTTTTGCCCGATCCTCCAAATCTTTGCTTAGAGGGGTCCTCATAGTCCTCCGAACTGGGTTACCAGCAGTTTTGGCCAGGTGGAGGAGGCAAGGCTACAACGGTGTAAATCACTTCAGGTATTGGAGTGAGGAGATCCAGGCTTTGAGTGGTGAGCACAGTGGGGTGGAAGGCATGTTTGGGGTGGGGTAGTCATTAAGGAGCAAAGACCAGTGCATGCACCCTGTGTAGACTGCAGTCTTTCTAGTTACCAGGAAGAGAAAATCATCATAGCTTCAGTGATGAAAGCAGCAGATTACTGACAGCTGGCAGGAGAGGTTTACCCTCAACACAAACATTTCCTGGCAAAATCACATGTTCCAGGATTAGAGCAAGCATGCCCCAACTAAACTGCACATTTTTTAAACTTTCAAAAAATTGAAAGCATTAAAATAATGCATTTCACTTTTGTAGGAATAAAATATTTCATTCATTTTGTTTCAATTTTTCTCCTGCGTTTTTCATCCAGCTGATTCTCCCAGGAATTCCAAGACTTGGGTCCTTTTCACGCTTTAACACATACCTCCCAGACCTCTAGGCTGTGTGGGACATACACAAATTTGCTTCTTTTGTCCATTTCATGAATGAACAGATTTTCACTTAAAAACAATTTCTATTCTACTAAACTCAGTGAGAGTTTAAGATTCTTTCTCTAGTTTTTGTGTTTTGTTCCTTGGTGAGCCATTGAGTCGAAGATTTACAGACTGAAGCTTGGGATTGCATGATAAATATTAAAAAAAAGAAAACAGGGAATAAGGTAATAAAAATAATCAAAATGAGGGTGGAGAGAAGAAAAGTTCATGGTGACTTAATATAACCAATAACAGGTAGGAGAGATTTTGACACTCTCACCTTTAAAACTACATACAGGACATCTTCAAAGCCACTTTATCCCTTAATCTGGGATAGACTAGGGTTTGTTGGGGTCCAACCCCAGCCGGTCCAGGGGTTCCCAAAGGTGTGGACGGAGTCGGAGAAGAAGGAATGACACGGAGACAGCGTTCAGTTGATCAGCAGCCTAGCCAGATTATCCAGCCAGGTTCTGTGTTTTATTGCCTTGTTACATCTGTATTTATACCAGTTGATTTTAATCCTGTCAATTTCTATTCCAAAGGTTAGGGCGTTTCTTATCTCCATTCCAGGGAGTAAAGATTATGTAGCTCAAGGGTGATTGTTCGTAGTTAAAGTGATTAACTACCAGCCTGGCATTTAGTTAAGGGGTTTTATTCTCTCCCTAACTTCAGGGAAAAATCCCTACCTGGGGAAACAACCTTTCTCAGAGAGGTGACCTTGTTTAAAACACATAGCGCCAAGAAGGTGAGCAAACATATTAAGAACAGTATGCCATATACGCCATACGCTGTGCAGATGTTTCTTCCCTGCAGCGACTGTGTCAAGCAGCAAGGATGGACCGGCTTCCGGCAAGGGTTAACTAGCATTTTAGAGTTGATTTTTTGAGGCTGAAAGTTTAGAACAACAAAAATATTATCTCTATTTTATTTATTAGTTTAGAAAAAAAAACAGCTCAAGGAATTTATTTTCCAGTTACAAAAAAACAAACCCTGAATATAACCTACGTGGAAATTTTCATGCCTGCGACAGTCAGTGGCAAATGAAGTTTTAGTAGTTACACCGAATAAAGCACCTTTCCACGTTCTGTGTGCCATTTCATTAACGTGAGAGCCTGTGCCTACCCCCGGCACAGTGAGCGGAAGAGATGCCTTTCCGGGGTTCCTAGAATACCAGAGTACTGACACCTGATTGTACTATTTCTTATCTGTTGGAGATGATATTGAATTTCGCTAAAAACCACACAGGAAACCAACAATCCCACATTGACAGTTTCGATAGCCACCGCAAAGAAACACAAAGAGGAACTTAATCTCCGAGTGTGACGGGGCAGAAGTGATTTCATCAGAAAAGCCTGGATCTCCAGCCCATTCCGATCTTGACTAACCCTCCTCTTTAACCCATTTCCTTTTGGATCCTCTCCCTTCTCCAGCGACTGGATACAAGGCAATAATAATAATAAAAAAAAGTTCTTGGATGCCGATGCGCGGGACTCCGGGTCGGTGGGCCGCACTGTCAGGGCGGCAGCCTCAGTTTCCCGCGCTGTCCCGCAGGGTCAGACCCGCCCCGGCCCCTCCCTGGGATGTCGCCAGGATCCCGCACAAATCAGCTGCCCCAAGCGAAGCCAAAGATCTCATCGCTGGGAGAGTCGCCAACAAAACTCCGCCGCGGTTCAAACACAGGCAACAGGAAGCTCGGGGCCGGGACGGCCCGCAGGAGGCCCGGCGCGTGTGGCTGGACGGCGCCCCGCCGGAGAGGAGGCGTTAGGAGCACCCGCCGCGCCCGGCGCCCTGCGGAGCGGGACTCCACCACCGACCAGTGAGTGCGGGGCCTGGCGCCGAGAGCTCACCGTCCCCCCAAACCCTCGGCCCGGCCCTCCC